ACAGAACCCTGTAGCACCCCAATGGTCACTTCTCTCCAGGATGAAGAGAAGCCATTGTTGAGCAGTTCTCTAATAGAGAAGGCTAAATGTCTCACAAAACTACAGTCCCCAGAATTCCATAACATTAAGCCATGGCAGTCAAAGTGGTGCCAAACTGGATTATTTCTGCAGTGCGGATGCAGCCTGAGTCATGAAATGCTCAGACAATGACCTTGGGCCAGTCACTATTTTCCAGCTCAAGGCTTTTGTAATGATGAAACAAGGGCAAGAAAAAAAATCTGCACATGGCTTTGATAACAGAGAATGTAAGATATAAATTTCATCATTCATTGTCCTTTATTATCATTACCCCTCCCCATGCTTTCTGTTCCCTCGCTAATTCATTTTATGTTATTTTATAACTTTCTTGTTTGCGGTTTTAATCCTTCTAATTTAATTCTGTCTTATGGGGTGGGAGGGCTGACTAGAGGGATGGGGATACTCGAATGTATTTTATCCATTGTATTTTAATTGTTGTTGTAAGCCGCCCCGATTGCTTTGCAGAGGGGCGGGGTAGAAATAAATTTTATTATTATTATTATTATTATTATTATTATTATTATTATTATTATTATTATCATTATTAATATGATTATTGGCTGGAATTCTATATCAGCTCCTTAGTTAAGTACATGTATCTGAGTAACTTTTCCTGGCCCAAAGTGTGCCGATCACTGGCAGAATGGGTCCCTTTTCCCCATGAAGCTGTTGCCTGGTCAAGTAATTTGGGGGGAGGAGAAATTACAATCATGACAATAGTGTTACAATTATGACTAAGTGCTGATTGTGAATATGGAATAGTTATGAACAAATAGATCTAGGTAAATGTTCTTTATTCATCATTGCTACTTATAGCTGTGACACTACTGCCCTGGTTGTAACTCCCTCTGGCAACCAAGTTTACTGGGCATGGGAAGAAGCAGATCCATTCTGCTGTCATTCGGAGCATGGGTGAATGATGGACTTCTGGCCAGGATAGGCTACTTATTAGTAGTAGTAGTAGTAGTAGTAGTAGTAGTAGTAATAGTAATAATAATAGTCTATATTGTCTGTCAGCTACTTAGTAGTATACTTAACTATGTAGCTGATAAACAATACAAATGATGATTAGTTACTATTATAATTCAGAGTCTACTAGGTGTTATCAGTGTTTTGGACCAGCAATGATTCAAATTCTGTTCAAGAATCTAGAAATCAGTAAGTTACCATTGGATAAATGGCAAGTTCCAAGTTGTAGTATTACGTTTTGTGATGGACACTACTAGGAATATTTTTGTTGTTAGAAAAGAAAGCACTGGATTTGGCTTTGTGTGTGTGTGTCTGTTTTGACGCTCTGAGAATAAGAGGGGGGAAAACCCAACAAAATTTGGAGGTAGCACCCTTTGAAGCTCATCTTCCATCCTAAGAATTTTGATGATAACATAGATATTTGGGAATAGCACAGTCATAAAGGACTTTTTAAAGGAATGTGGCAATTACTTCAGCATATATAAATCTGTAGCACAAAAATACAAGACTTAGCTTCGTTTTAGCAGTGCCTAAGGAAGGCAATCTGTTCTGATTCTGAATGTCGTAACATTACTGAGGTGAATAGGTGTTTAGAGAACAGTTCCTATTCACTGTTAAAACCAACAACAGATTTACTGTTTACTACCAGTGCTGCATATTATTGCCTTTGTTCTGTCTTCTCTCCCTCTTTCTGCTCACATCAAAATACACTCTGGGAATAAATCTCCAAATTCTTGGGGAAATCCAATGAGGCTACTGATATGACCTCCCTGTGTGTTTTGACCTGGGCAGACTTTTCCTCCTCTCCAAAGATTCTCCTGAAATTTCTGCTTTAATGGCTCTTTGAAATCCCCTCCTGCTAGCTCACCACCTGCCAAAGGGTGTTGTGTTGACAGGAAGAAAAACGGCATATTCCTTCCAAGAAAGGTCTTCCAACCCATGGGGAGAAGATGGTTGATGCTTAAGCCAACACAGAGCTGGCAGGCTTTTTGTTCTGAAAAGCAGCGTGAGACATTTCTAAAATGAGATGTGTTGCAACAGAGCTGGGGAATCAAGATCTGTCTGAAGTTAAGACACCTGCTTTGGGCTTAGGGTTGCCAGATGGAAGACTAGAGAGAATTCCTCTGTCATCTATCTATCTATCTATCTATCTATCTATCTATCTATCTATCTATCTATTTAATATCCTGGGTTGTTGCTGCTGGGTCAGATTGTGTCTGATTTATGGGGACCCTAAGGCAAACTTATCATGGGGTTTTCTTGCAAGATTTGTTCAGAGGAGGTTGGCCATTGCTGTCCCTTAGGCTGAGAGCATGTGACTTGCCCAAGGTCACTCAGTGGGTTTCATGGGCAAGCAGGGAATTGAACCCTGGTCTCCAGAGTCATAATCCACCACTCAAACCACTATGCCACGCTGAGTGTAACCATTTAAAACAAATGCAACTAAAAATATTCATACAAAAGTTAAAAGACAATGAAACTGTTCTGTTAAAAAACCCACACAAATTTAAAACATTTAAAAACACATTTAAAAGATAATAAAATGATGCCTCCCACCCCCTTAAGTGTTCTATCTACTGCAATGAATTAAAAATGGCCTGCCTAAATAAAAAGGTTTTTGACTACTAGCAGAAAGACAACAGCATTATTATTATTATTATTATTATTATTATTACAGTTTATTTATATAGTGCTGTAGATTTACACAGCAGGGCACATCTACACTGTCAGGAAGCTCCAGTTTACTTTCAGGTTTACTGATCAGCAGCGATCACAGGTTTATCTACATGATCGCCACATACATCAAAGCAAGTTTGAGGGGACTGTCCACATAATATTTTTCCCTTTCAAAGTCACCCCGGTCCAATAAATCACAGTATGTTCATGTGATAAATCACAATATGTGTTTCTCCTCCCCTCATGCGTGTGAATGCACTCCTCTCCTTGGCACTTTGCTATGGAGTGCAGTCCACATGCATGCATGTATATCCATATTTTCCAGTCAAAACCAGGATAATTCCACACATTTTTCCCTCTACAGTCACCATGGCCAGTGATCATGGATCATGGGAAATATGGTACAAAAACATCTGGAGTGCTCCAGGCTGTAGAATACTAGTTGGATTGAGCTCATAAGTACTCTGTTTTGTAGCTGTATGCTACATCCTTTCCCGAGAAAACCCAGACGAACTAATATATTTTCTCCCAGATGGTCTCCCACTGAGATTCTGCTGAAGGCCAGGTCTTTTCAATTTCAGTAACATCATGTGCCTCCAAACAATTCACTGTGCTGCATATGTGGAAAGCACTTCTGTGTCCAGTATTTTGCTGCAGGCATAGGCAATAGCTCTCTTTCTCACTTAACTCTTGTTCATTTAACATAATTATATGAAACTCCCTTATGAAACTCCCTTATACTAGTTTTTTCAGATGTTCAGAATGCTTTTACTGGGTTCTGGACTGCATATGTACTGTTCTGAATGCAGGGATTTTCCCCTCAAGCACTATAAATCAAGAAGTTGTAAAGTCTGCTGGCTAGGCCTGTGGGGCTTATTTGGGGGCTGCAAATCTTGTCCCTTATAGCACTGACATGCCCCCCTTATTATATTGGCTGTCCACTATTGGAGGGTTGGAAAAACTTATTTTTTTTGTGTAAGCTGAATAAGATGCCAAACATTCCCTATTTGGGGGTGGAGGCTCTTCATAAGCAAACAGATGTTTTAATCATGGAATTTATTGAGGAGGGAACAAGCTTGTTTTCTGCTGCTCCAGAGACTAGGACCCGAAACAATGGATGCAAGCTGCAAGAAAAGAGATTCCACCTCAACATTAGGAGGAACTTCCTGACAGTAAGGGCGGTTCAACAGTGGAACACACTCCCTCGGAGAGTAGTGGAGTCTCCTTCCTTGGAGGTCGTTAAGCAGAGGCTGGATGGCCATCTGTCGGGGATGCTTTGATTGGGAGTTCCTGCATGGCAGGGGGTTGGACTGGATGGCCCTTGTGGTCCCTTCCAACTCTATGATTCTATGATTCTAAATGTGGACAATATGTTAATTTTTACATAGAAATGTATGGCTATATTAACCGAAATCAACACTGGCTGGAATCCTGTTGAGGACTTAGGTCTTTGTAACTGGACTTACTTCTGCAGGAATTAGAAATGGGCAGTTCTGTACCATCCAGAGGGTGCTGCTCCTTTAATACATAGATAAGCCATTAAAATGATCTATACACATTGGGACTGATGCACAACAGGAGAAATTCACATTGGCACCCAGTTGGCTTCTATGGCTGAGCTGGGAATTGAACCCTGGTCTCCAGAGTTGTAGTCCAGCACTCAAACCACTATGTTACTCTGACTGTCTTATGTGCATACTCATCACCTATTGTCTTTGATAAACAGGTTTTGCATGAAGCGTGTGTGTATATTTTTAAAAATCCAGACCTTTTTGATCAGCACTTATAGTAATACAACAAAAGAAGTATCTGTCCATCTGTACATACTGAAAACTGAAAGTCATTTTAAATGTGCTATTTTTGGCCTTCAAAAATGACTACAGACTGTTTCAAACCTTGCTCTCCCTGGTCTATCAGAGCTGGAATATGTCCGTACCTCTAGTTTCATAAATCTTCTCAGGAATCATCCCTCTTAATTGACCTTTCTGAAGGGTACAAGGACTTGGCCTCTCTCTTTGAGAGCACCTCACAAATGAACAGGAAGAGCAATCTGGGATGTACGCTTAGGAAAACAAAGCAACTCCTCCATTTTCATCTTATTACGAGGATGGTTCCAATTGAACTCACCCAATTTACCGCCCTTCTTCTAGTCAATACATGAGCTGTACATCACCCTCCCCATAAACGTGGGAACTATGTCTTGAATTTTTTCCCCTTACTTTTTTTCCAAAGGCCCTCCTAACCAGAGATAGCAAAAACTGTGGTAGGAAGAGAAAACATTATTATTCTTATTTCCCTTTGCAGACAACTCATCTTTCCCACCTCCCACTCAGTTTCGCTTGAACAAGTGCTCTGTCAATTACAGCATAAATTAGCCAGCAGGGCGATTTAGCAGATTAAGTACTGAGAACATAGCCTGCCCTTAAAAGCACTGTGTGTGAGAGATGGGAACATAGCCAGGTTCAATCTGCAGGCAAGGGCTGCCAGTTCAGTTTTTTTTAAAAAGATGCCCCAAATAAGGGGATCGTCTAGCAAAGTGTGTTTATTGTGCTGTGGTTTCATAGGCAACAGCCTACTTCCCCAAATTCTGCTGTCTATGAAACTTGATTTTGCAACTTCAGGGTCTCTCTTAATTTTAGCATAGCAGAAAGTCGCCGTTCCCATGTGGTGCTACATGTTTAAAATACTCCTCGTTCCAGTTGAATGTGATATGGCCACATGCAATTCACAGGAGTTTGGGTTTGTGCCTCCACAATTCCTTAAACTCATCAGAAAAAAAGTTTTGCTGTTTTTCTACTGGAGTATCCATTGAAATCCGCAGAAATGTGCGTTATCACACATGTGACTATCTGTTTCACATGGATTCAGATGGCTGCACATTTTTAGCAGAGGGATGGTGAATAGATGTAAATCCATGCAAATTTGCACAGGATAGTGAAGACAACTATCAATGTGAATTTGAGAAACTGTGCACCAATTTACATAGTACACTTATGTGTGGACTAGCTCTTAGATTCTTTTCCTGAATGCAACAGTTGTTTCACAGGGATAATCTAAGTAGGACTGCAGCATTTAACTGATCCATCCATCAGATTAATGTGTTAAAATGTAACAGCACAATCCTATGTAGAGAGATCTTGTAGCACCTTTGAGACTAAAGTGGACTCAATTTGCACTATTTCTGGCAGTCTGCAAAGGCCCTAACTGAAATAAAGAAGTTGGCAGCAATAGCTTTCATAGACTTAAGTCTACCTCCTCCCCCTCTCCCAGTTACCCCCTTTGTCTTCAACTTACTTTAACTGAAGCAAACTGAGTTCAAAATGCAAAAGTAGTTTGCACAGAGGGATGGAACAGATGAGCAGGAAAAAGCGGCTGGAACCTGCATTTTCCAGAAGTGGGTCAAAACCCCGCTGTCCGCACCGGCCACTCCCAAAGTGCCCGGAATGTGCATGGCCTGACAGCATGGCACAGTAACTTTTTTATCACCTCCATGCATGCGCACCATCACACAAACATGCCGTTGGTGACTGCTTGATGCTTAGATGCAATCCCATTGGATGGATGGCTCTTTGATTGGCCATAGAGTCGCACCTGTGATCCTCCACCAGTACAGGGTGTTGGAGCATCAGTATGTCCACGAAAACACTGGCAAAACACAATCATGTCCTCCCCATCAGGATTCTATGCTTCTCATCATATTAATCTGACCACCAAGGAGTGATGCATGTGGTTGGGGGAAATCAAAGAGAATGGCAGATGGGCACTGTAAATAGTAGATGGGACATTGAGGCAGGTTTAAGACAGGGATGAGAGTTTGCCTTCCGATGAAAGGAGATGGACCTGGAAGAACTAAACTTCAACGATCCCTTGATATGGACAACTGGGCCACTGGGGAGGGGGAAAAGTGGACTGGTCAGAGGGCTTTAAAGTACTGGCTTGGTGGGAAATACTCAGAGTTGTTTCTAAAAGGATTGCTGTGGTAAAGTGTCTTGATTCCGGAATAAAGCTATAGTGAATTTACACTTAAAATGTTTTCCTGGTTCTTCAAGTTGCTTGCTACCAAGCATGATACCCCCAACATGCCCCCTTCCCTTCCCTTCATCTCATGCCCTCTCTTGGACAGTCTGGTTTGTGTATGTTGTACTTATATCCATTGGAGGTGTCACACTTCCACTTTTTTGCATTGCCACCCTGACCATTTGGGTACTGCGGCACCGTCCTTTTTTAATGCACACCTGCACCAGTATATTTATATGCAGCTTTAGGGTTAGGGTTAAGATGGATTGCTGTTTCAGAACTGCTCTTTCGTTGGGGCATTTATATGAAGGGTCGAAGGTGTGCATTTTCTGGGCTAATGCAAACTATTCTGGCTTCTTTTTGCTCTGTTTTTTTTTAGTCCTGGAGTGTGGCTTCAATGCAGTTTCCACCCATTTTGGAAGTGTGTATTATCTAAACGCCCCACTTTCAAACTGGGTGGAAATCGCTTTCTTGGCCTGTCTCTTTCATCCCTTAGTTAACTTACCAGTGGGGAAAGAGGAGAAGGGAGCACAATCTTTTCCTTCTAAGTAGCCTCAGGCAAAAGCAAAACTGCTGCAGCCTCTCCTAGGTAACCTATTCTTCTTCATTAATAACGTTTGCCACCTTGACCACACACTGATGCTGCTTTTCCATGCGTACCCCAGTTTTTATCTGTAAAATGTTGCAGGGTATGTTAGACCTCTAGATCCTACTACTAGGATGTAGTAGGACACTAGGGACGTTTTCACACGGGGCTTTAAACGGAGTCATTCCTACCTCCGTCCGGCCCCACTCCGGCTCTGTGCAGGATAAGTTCACACGACGTCGCAGCAAGCCCCGCCCCATCCTGCGCCATCCCTGCGCCATCCCTGCCTCACTCCGGGGTCTTGCTGCGCGTGTTCACACGACGTCGCAGCAAGCCCCGCCCCATCTTGCGCAATCCCTGCGCCATCCCTGCCGCTAGCCGGCTTTAGCCCTGTTTTTGTAATTCCTTTTTTAAAAAGGAATTACAGGGGCTGCTGCCGGAGGCAATCAGGAGTCATTCCGGCGGCTGCTGTTTTCGCCGCCGGAATGGCTCTTGATTGCTTCCAGGGGGCTTCCAGGCGGCTTTAGAGCCGCCTGTGTGAAAACGTCCTAGGATGTGTATTACTGTTGCACCAGGTGTCACCAACTTATATTTCTTGCCTAAATGTGGAGCTTTTAGAATTCAATTTTTTTTTTTTTTGGCACAGCTTTCCAAACTTTCTGGGGGATTCCCCTCTCCCCTTACCACTCTTCATAAAGTACACATTCCCCTTATTTTCTTTCTGCTCCTTTCCCTTTGTGAAAATAGTTGTTTGGAGTTTATCTTAACTCTGTACCCATGCTGAGTTCCTCTCTCCCACTTCTTAGTACTATACAATATGGGAACAGCTAGAGTGGTTCACGATGTCATTTAGATTGAAGGCAGGAACAGGTGTAAACTGGCACTGAATGACCTGGATTTTGCATTAAGAGACTCAGTAATAAAATACAGATCTCAGGGTGTGTTTAAAACTGAGAGTAGGCCATGCCCAACATAAACATTACTCATGAGAATTCAGCATATAAACAGAGGTCTTTAACTAAGGCATTTGGCAAGTGTTCAAAGAGAGTAATTTTTAAAAGAACATTGCGGCAATCTCTTATTTAACTGAAGCAGCAGAGGGTGTTATATTTACTAACATAAAGCACACCATGTTCTTTTTCATCCCAATTCTGTTAGCTAAAAACAAAAACAAACCACCAACAACAACCCACACACAATAATAAAAGTAGTGACTTCACATCAATTTTCACTCCTAAGTTTATTGATTATGCCATTTTGTTTACAACCTTACACTGAATAAGGAAAGAAAAACACATTGTGGGCAGAATCTCTAGTTGTTCAAAGGCACAATATCTGTACGTGCTAAATTGCTACTTTTGTTATCTCAACAACATATTTCATCCAGCAGTGTGCAATGTGTGGCCCTCCAGAGGCTGTTAGATTGACAATCCCATAAGCCCTGATCAGCAGAGCTGATAGGTAAATGATTCTTGGAGTACAGCTGCACATATCCCAACCTTGCTTTAACTCATCAATGCAACATTTAGAACATGGTCTCAATTTAGATTATCTACAGTTTTCTATTGCAGAGTTTGGGAACTGTTGTACTATACCTCCCATCAGCCCTAGCCAGTATAACCAATGATGAAGGATGGTGTGGGTTGCAATCTAGCAACATTTGTTATTGTGTGCCTTCAAATGGTTTCCAACTTATGGCAATTCTAAGGCGAACCTATTGCAGGATTTTCTTGGCAAGTTTCTTCAGAGAGGGGTTGCCATTGCCATCCTCTAAGGCTGAGTACACACAGTCCTTGACATTTGCTATCTCAGTAGGCATTTCACAAGGTTCTGGGATTAAGTAAACTGTAGCAGCAGCAGTAGCTCTAAGTCACCTGTAGTCAGAATGTTTGAAAGCCTACCTTTTCCCATATAAAGCATCCTTTCACTCAGGTCAACCCCTCTGGTTTCCCCTGCTAGTGTTACAGTTCAGGGGAATGGTGACAAAAGGAGTGGGCCTTTTTAGTGATGGCATCCTCTGTCATTTGCACTAACAAAGTTCAACTGGTACAGCTATTCCCAACATTGAGTGGACCACACT